TTTGTTTAAATTTAATTTAATTTAATCTAATTATTTATTTGGATCAAACGATTGTTCAGTGAGTCACAACAAAGAGTGATAAATTTAAAAAAGTAATTTTTGCTTTCTGTAATCTTCTAATCGTGTGCGTGCTCATCATCCAATCAGAAGCCTCTGAGCTCTGCTGGATGCTGATTGGTGGAGGGCAGAGTTCTGCTGATTGGCAGATCAATACTGCTGAGTCATGTGATGTGTTCATCAGGATTCAATCAGAGGACTTTGGTTTGCTTTCCACTGTGAGCAGAATGATTGTTTGTGTGTCTTCTGCCCTCTGCTTTTTAATTAGATTTTTTCATTGTTTCCGCGTGGCTGTTGTGTGTCTATTTTTGTTTGTTTTGTGTCTCTGTGGATGTTGTGTGTCTCTTGGTGGTTGTTTAGTGTCTCTAGGTGGTTGTTTAGTGTCTCTTTGTGGTTGTTTTGTGTCTGTTTTGGGTTGTTTTATGTCTCTGTGGTTGTTGTGTGTCTCTTTGTGTTGTTTTGTGTCTGTTTTGTGTCTCTTTTTGGTAGTTTAGTGTCTAAGTGGTTGTTGTCTGTCTCTTTGTGTTGTTTTATGACTGTTTTGTTTTTTTTGTGTCTCTTTTTGGTAGATTTTTCACTCTTTCTTGTTGTTTTGTATCTGTTTCGGATTGTTTTGTGTCTATTTTTTATTGTTTTATGTCTTTTTGTGGTTGTTTTTTGTCTCTTGTTGTTTTATGTCTCTTTGTGGTCGTTTTGTGTCATTATAAAGTTGTGATCAAACCCAGGTTAGCGTTCCTTTTCTGGAGGTCTCCTTAAAGCTAACGGGCAGCTTTTAACCTCAGCAGAGTTTGGTCTGATCAGCTCTTATCTGTGTTGCTATCGGGGAGATGTGGAAGATTGTGTAGTCTTTGTTTCTCTTTGTGCTCATTTTGCATCTCTTTGTGGTCGTTATGTGTTTTTTTTGTGGTCATTTTATGTCTTTTTGTGTTCGTTTTGTGTCTGTTTTGTGTAATTTGCGTCTCTATGTAGTACTTTTGTGTCTGTTTGTGTTCTTTTGTGTCTGTGTTGTTTTGTGTCTCTTTCTTGTTTTTTGTCTAACTTGTGTTTTTTGTGTGTGTTTCGGATTGTTTTGTGTCTATTGTTGGTTGTTTTATGTCTTTTTGTGGTTGTTTTGTGTCTCTTTGTTTTGTTTTGTGTCTCTTTTTGGTCGTTTTATGTCTTTTTGTGGTTGTTTTGTGTCTCTTTGTGATCGTTTTGGGTCGTTATAAAGTTGTGATCAAACCCAGGTTAGCGTTCCTTTTCTGGAGGTCTCCTTAAAGCTAACGGGCAGCCTTTAACCTCAGCACAGTTTGGTCTGATTAGCTCTTATCTGTGTTGCTATGTAGTAGTTTTGTGTCTCTTTGTGTTCTTTTGTGTCTCTTTGTGTTGTTTTGTGTCTGTTTGGTTGTTTTTTTGTCTGTTTTGGGTTGTTTTGTGTCTGTTTTGGTTGTTTTTTGTCGTTTTATGTCTTTTGTGGTTGTTTTGTCTCTCTTTGTGGTTCTTATGTGTCTATTTTTGGTTGTTTTGTGTCTGTTTTGGTCGTTTTGTGTCTTTTTGTGGTCGTTTTGTGTCTTTTTGTAGTTGTTTAGTGTCTATTTTTGGTCGTTTTGTGTCATTATAAAGTTATGTAAGCCTGAAATCAGATGAAACCCAGGTCCTTTTCTGGAGGTCTCCTTAAAGCTAACGGGCAGCTTTTAGCCTCGGACTGGGCAGAGTTTGGTCTGATCAGCTCTTATCTGTGTTGCTATCGGAGGAACGAGGCCCTGAGGTCACGGATGGCAGCAGCTCGCGGACATCAAATATTTCCGGAGCGAGTTTGGAGGCCACAGATAAGAGTACCGGCCCCGACCTTCAGCCGACCTTCAGTCCGACCTTAAAGAATAATAAAAGCAAAGATAGAAATCTGAGAGGGAAACCAACACAAACCTCCAGCTATAATTGTTGACACAGGACAAACCCTGTGTGTGAGTGTGTGTGTGAGTGTGTGTCTGTGTGTGTGTGTATGTGTGTGTGTGCGAGTGTGTGTGTGTCTGTGTGGGTGTGTGCGTGTGTTTGTATGTGTGTAGTCTTTGTGTGTGTGTGAGTGTGCGTGTGTGTAAGTGTTTGTGTGTGTGTCTCTTTGTGTGTGTGTGAGTGTGCGTGTGTGTAAGTGTTTGTGTGTGTGTCTTTTTGTGTGTCTGTGTATGTCTGTGTGTGTGTGTCTGTGTGTTTGTGTGTGTCTCTTTGTGTGTTTGTGTGTTTAAGTTTGTAATCTGTGTACACGTGTGACCCGACACACCTCCCCTCTCTCTTTTATTTTTAGCTCAGATCGAGTTTCTATTCCTCGGACTCGGTTTGAGCCAGAAGCGGTTCCTGTTCAACCGGAGATTAAAAGGTTCCGGTTCCATCTGGACCCCCATCTGGACCCCATCTGGACCCTTCTGGACCCATCTAGACCCTTCTGGACCCCGTCTGGACCCGGGTCTGGGGGCCCGCGATGCTCCGGGAACTCCTTGTGGAAACCAGGAAAACGCCGAGTCACTGTGAGGATCTGAGCTGAATCAGAGATAGGAGCTCCTCCATCTAAAGATGCTGAACCACTCTGTTTTATGTTGCTAAATGTGATAAGATATCGTTCATTATGAGTGTGTCAAACTTTGATTTAATTTGATTTTTTTAAAAACTTTATTGCCTTAAATCCAAATTAACAGCCAATTAGCATCATAAAGAAAAGTAGATAAAAACAGACAAACTTTAGGTCTAATTAGTCACACTGAACTTACACCGTAAAGGATACAACACACATTTTATCTAGTTGTGCTCCAAAAAATTAATATTTTAGATTTGAAAAAGATACAATAATTATAAAAGTAATAATAATAATAACAATACATGGGATATAGTATAAGTGTATACGAGTCCTAAGCATAATATTCGGTAACTGGGCTCCATCTTAAAATAAAAACAGGTCCTTTTAGCTGTAATTGGTCAAATGTTCCATCATGTAAACTTGTTTTACTTTCTGTAACCACAGATTAATCAGTGGTCAGTCT